AGTACTGTTTTTACTTCCAGGGAGTAGAAATCTTAAAATTCGTGTTTTATAAAACGTCTAGCTTTTTCTCAAATTCCAAGCTCTCTGAAACACTTACCTTCATGGTAGAGTATCAAAAGTTTTTTTTACAAAGGAGATTTATTTTAAACTAGTGGTAAATGTCATTTAAAGACCACATAAATCCTACAAAACTTGAATATATTTATATTAACAGTTACTATTGTTATCTTGAACTCTGATGCCATGATTGCTTAACGGTCGACTATATATTCAGCATTGTCCTGAGAACTTACATCACCCTCAATTAAGATTCTTTACTTTTCTTGGCCTAATTTTAGATGAACATAAAGCACCTCGTGCTTGTGCAAACCTGCGCTGAATAACTAGTGGATTATTGTATTCGGGTCATTCCTAGCAACACTATATAACACATAAACTACACAATAGTCTTTTGAATGTGCCTTTGTCTTTGATTCAACAGCTCAGAGATATTAGTGGCTTTTATTCTAGTGGGATAAAATTTAGCCTTTTTCACAATGAAATTAAAAAATTTTTAATGTATAGAAAAAGTGCACATTTTAAAATAAGCATCTTACATAGTGGTTGGTTATTTTTATTGTGTCTCTTCTCCCCCCGTTTAAAAAGATAACTAATGGGTACCAAGTAGCAATGTCCCTAAGTTACATTTAGGGAGTTGTAATCTGTGTACTGAGAATAGAGCCCAATGGCTATTTTTGCTACTTCCAAATATGTTGATTACACAAATTTGAATTACTCTGCAGTCCGCTTACAATATCTTGGAATTGTGTATGTATGCAGTGTACATAGATGTTGCTGTAACTCTGAATACACAGCCTAGATGCTACTCAAAGTTAGGAAGCTGGTACGGTTTAATCCTTGGAATCTGTTGTATTCAGAAGGGCTTCTGTATCCTGTTTTGTTATTTTCTCTTTGATTTTGTCTTTTACTCTCATTCTTTGTTTGCAGAAAGGGTTTAAGATGGGACAAAGTCCAGATAATAATAAAGTCACTGTGGCTTTAGGTATTTTACATTGGGAAAGCATTGCCTTACTGTTTGACTTTATTATCACTGAACAGCTAGCTCACTGAACCAAACTCCATTTTGGCTCTAGTTTGGCTGTTAGGAGAGACTGTTGACTGCTTGTGTGACTGCTTGAGGTGGGTCGAGGAAGATTTTAACGTTTATTTATTTTTGAGACAGAAAGAGACAGAGCATGCATGAACAGGGGAGGAGCAGAGAGAGAGGGAGACACAGAATCTGAAACAGGCTCCAGGCTCTGAGCTGTCAGCACAGAGCCCGATGCGGGGCTCAAACTCACGGACTGTGAGATCATGACCTGAGCCGAAGTCAGACGCTTAACCGACCAAGCCACCCAGGCGCCCCTCAAGGAAGATTTTAAAAAAGATAAAACTAGGAGCTGAAGGAACCATTCTGAGCACTGACGCAGGAAAATCAAAGCCACTATAGGGGGTGATTGCTTCAGAACACCCTAAATTTGAGTTTGAAAAACATTCAGAAAATTCTTCAGGCTTCTAACTGATCTTTGATTTTTATCCAAAAGTATGTTTGTTTGTTTTTTCTCATTTGGTAAATGTTCTTTTTTTTTTTTTTTTTTTTTTTTTTTTTTTATGTTTATTTTTGAGAGACAGAGAGACAGAGCGAGCGAGCTGGGGAGGGGCAGATAGAGAGAGGGAAACACAGAATCTGAAGCAGGTTCTGAGCTGTCAGCACAGAGCCGGACAGGGAGCTCGAACTGTGAGCTTGAACTGTGAGATCATGACCTGAGCTGAAGTCGGATGCTTAATTGACTGAGCCACCCCGGCGCCCCCATTTGGTAAATATTCTGATGTGTTTGCTTCATTCACTTAATGAGATCATGGATGATTATTTTTTAATTAAGGAGCATTTCTTTTGTAAGCATTTTAAATGTCATCCATTTGGCTGATATTTAAAACTCAGACCAAGTTTGAGCTTTTTGCTCTTCAGTGTCATTCCCATGCTTTAAACTTAGGGCCTCAGAGTGATTTTGAAAACTAAGGATTTCAATTATTTCAAACCTAGGAAACCAACCAGAGTTTATTCTACTTTAGCTTGTATCATAGATAACAAAAGTTATTACTCACTTTGGTAATAGATAAATGATGGGAACCCAGTAAGCTAGGAAGTATCTCTTCTTCTGTCCCACAGGAAACATGTTATCTGGTTAAGAAGATAGCCCAGATAGCAGATGATGCCTTGCAGACGTGTTGCAGCCAGTGATCAAAGGAGGAAGTACTGAAGTAGGAAGACCCCTGAGAGAGTTAGTAAGGCATCATAGAGCCAGAAGCTCTGTCCTGGGCCTAAGAGATTGGCTGAGGCATCTATTTAAATCTGTAACTGTACCTGTGATGTTTCAGCTTCTATGGTAGAATGTCAGGTCCACTTCATAAAATTGAGTCATAATCCATTTTTTATATTTTCAGCCAGTGTTCTATTCTGTCCCTGCCTCATATAGCTTATAACGATTCTTTAAAAAGCTTCTCATCACTAACCAAGATTGGCATCCTCTATAGTCCTAGCAGCAAGGTGTGCTGAGCCTGGAGGCCAGGCAGGCTGGGTTCACATCTGCTCTGACATTTGTGGTCTAGGGCAAGCTTACTCAGCCTCTGTGCACATCTTAGCACATCTGTAAAATAGGTGATGATGCCTACTTTGAATGATGGTTTGGAGGTTGGATCTGCGTAGGAAAATTCGTGGCATATCCTTTCTCATTATGCTCATTTAAAGGTAAATTTGTGTCTTTTACTTAGGATATTTTCATGTATCTATCCTGAGACTTAGTTTCCTGTTCCATCAGCTCTTTGCTGATGAGGAGGGAGAAACTATCTGAAAACCTGTGCTTAAATATGGGAGCAGTTTCAGATTCTGCCGCCCACAGTTTTCAGGAATTTGACATTGAGTGATCCTACAAGTGCAGATTTCACATTGCTGTTTCATGTAGCTAAGCCAAATAGTCTTACCTATTTCTTGAACTAAAAATGTTCTAATACAAAAACAAGAATGGGAACTTAAACTCATCAATAAAACTGCTATCTTAGTTCAGGCTACTGTACCACACACCACAGACTGGGTGGCTTAAACAACAGACTTCTGTTTCTCATGGTCCTGGAAGTTGGGAAGTCCACTGTGAAAGGTCGGGACAGATTCATTTTGGGATGAGGGCCCTCTTCCTGGCTTCTGAATAGCTGCCTTCTTGCGGTGTCCTCACATGGTGGCAAGAGAGGTGATCTTTTCCATTTCTTTTAATAAGGGCACTAATCCTATCCCATTGGGGATTAAGGGCTTCAACATATGAATTTGGTAGGGGTTGAGTGGAGCACATTCAGTCCCTAGTAACAACTAATAAAAGTTGGTTCAAAAGTGTGTTGTTTAAACCTGCTAGGCTATTTCCTATGGTTACTAACATTCTTTCCTCCTTTATAATTATATCTCTTAGCTGAGGTGCAAAACAGTCTCCGGTTGAACATTACTGTGTCTGTGATGGGGCGCCTGATTGAAATGCCTTCCAAAGCCAGGCAGGTACACATAATAAGTAAAGAGAATAGGCCACTGCAGACCAGAGCATGGCCCTCCGAGGAGAGGAGCTCATACCCTGCCCTTCAAAAGGGCAATACTGGGCTTTTGGGCATTTGTGGAGTTTTTTGTTTTTTAAATTAAAAAAAATTTTTGAGCTTATTTGGGGGGGTGGGGCGGAGAGAGAGCACGCACACGCACACACATGCATGCGTGAAAGGGGCCCCAGGGTGGGAGTGGGGGGTTAGGGAGAATCCCAAGCAGGCTCCGCATTGTCAGCGTGGACCCAGGAACCCTGAGATCTCTCAAGACCTGAGCTGAAGTGTTTAACCGACTGAGCCACCTAGGTGCCCCTGGACATTTGTTTTTAAGGCTGGAAATCTGGATTTGCATGTCAAATGTCAGGTAGATAGTGGAGATAGTGGATGTATTGTTGCTTCCTTTTTTTTTTTTTTTTTTTTTTTTTTTTTTTTTTAATAAGTCAAACAAAATACATCTGCCGACTGAGTATGCTTTGTGGGCACCAGTTTCCTACCTTTTCTCTGTTTTGGTATCTTGTGCAGAGGGTATTCTCAAGTGTTTGCCTGTATGATCTGATTCCATACCTTTTCACTTATATACAGGTAATGTTTTATTTCAACCATAAATCGTGATTCATAGTCTCCACTATTTATACTATCATAATTTAAAGCATGTGTTTTCAGGAAAACAAAAACATGTTCTATTTGTACTACACCCAGAAAAGACCTACTTTGGTATTTAACTCCTGATTTTTATCAGAATTCCACCAGGTGGTGTTATCAATGCAGTAGTGCACCTTACACTGTAAATTTTGTATGGTTTCAGAGTGGGCAAGTTGTCTTAAGTTACTCATGAGAAACCAAAAGTAAGTTGTTGAAACTCCTAAAATAACCTCTCCACATTGATGTGTTTATGATTATGAATTAACTCTCCAATAGTGGGACTTACAGTTCCATTTATCCTTATCCACTGGCAGGTTATTAATCTACCATGATTAGAATGCCCAGATAACTACTTACCTTCAGTAAGCCATTTGAGGAAATAAATTTTAAAATGCAGCTTCTTTGTGTAACTGAGATTTACAGAATCTTAGCTTTGAAATACTTCTTTTGAAGTGCAGTCTGTGAAAATGGGCATCTTGACCTTTGTTTAGCATATTAAATAGAGCAGGAGAAAGAAATAATTAGGGAAAAAGTTCTTGTCCTCAAACAGTGCCACTGTTGACTGATGAGTTTCTCCAGGTCTTCATATTATGCAAAAGAACACTCATTGTGTGCAGTGTAAGCAGATGTGACGGTCTCTAGTTACTGTGGGCCCTTTCCAACCTTGATTTTCCTGCCTTCTCCTAAAGGTCACACTGAACCTGAGTCTGGAAGAAGGTTAATCTCTCTTTTACTTTCAATAGGTGGAATACATGTTGGTGTCTTTTGATCATGAAAATAAGAGAGTCCAGTTGGTCCTGTCTGGAGAAGAAGTTCTTGAAACTCTACAAGAAAAGGGGGAAAGGACAAACCCAAAGTAAGCTGATAAACTGAAGGATTGTTACAGTGTTTCTGAAACTGATAGAACTATTAAAATAGAATCTTTCCTCAGATGTATAGGAGACAGGGTGGCATAGTAGTTGAGGGCACAGGTTCTGGTCCTCCCAAGTTGTCTGGATTCAAATCCTGGCTCCCCTACTTCATAGCTGGGTGCAACCTTGCACAAGTTATTTCTCTGTGCCTTAGTTTCCTCACCTGTAAAGTAGGGATAATAATACTTTCCATGTAGGGTATGGACATTAATATCTTAACGTATTATAAAGCACTTAGAACTATGAGCTCAATATAAAACCTCCTTAATATTAATAAATGTACAAGAAAAAACAAAAACAACAAACCATTGACAAAGCGTTACTGAGATCACAAACCATGGTGCCAGATTGAGCTTACAGAGGAGGGTGTTTGGCTGGCGGGATGTTTTTGCAGTATTTCCTTAAGTAGGCAAAGAGGTGAAGGGGCATGTACTTTCCAGTTCAGTTTTCTGCTCACTCGATTTTGGGAGGCAGCATTTGAGTTTGGAGTCTAGCATTGAACTGAAAGAGCCCTTAAGGCCAAAGGCTTCCTCTCCTTTGTCGCAAAGTGGACTAGCTTGTCTTGGACAGTGATTGCCCTGTGTGTGGTTCTCAGTTACTTAAAAATATTTTGGGTCCAGTACTTATAACCCTTACATGGTTAAAGAGCTCTGGAGAATTACCAGCTTTTGGGAACTGTGAAGGAGTTCTTAGCTTCATTTATACTGAATGGTTTCTAAATTTTTTGAATTGACTTTTTAAAAACTTCTAAAAATTGACAGCAGCAAAATATGATGGAATGGAATTTTCCCTCTTCTGTAGCCATCCTACCCTGTGGAGACCAGAGTATGGCAGTTACATGATTGAAGGCACACCTGGACAACCGTACGGAGGAACTATGTCCGAGTTCAACACAGTTGAAGACAACATGAGAAAACGCCGGAAGGAGGCGACCTCTTTATTAGGAGAAAATCAGGCTCTTTGCACAATAACTTCATTTCCCAGGTTAGTTCCTATATTAACATGCCCCAGCAGATAGTTAGTTCAGAGCTTCAGCTTATAAAAAGCAAATCATGACCCAAGCATTTGACTGTACAGTTCTCATACTTTACAGACAGTTCATACTTTGATAGAATCTGTAATGTGAGAGCTGCAGGCAAAAATTGCATGCCAGTTCCAGTTGGTGGGTGGTGGCCCAGAGCATTGTGGTGAGAGCATTGGTCTGGCCTCAGTGGGCATGACCGTGGGGACCACTGTGACTGATAGCCTTGTGGCAGAGTCCAGCCCCAGCCCGGCTGGTAGGAGCAGCATGTCTGCCACGCAGTTCTGACCCCGTAAAGAGTAGCAGAGTCTTGGGGCGCCTGGGTGGCGCAGTCGGTTAAGCATCCGACTTCAGCCAGGTCACGATCTCGCGGTCCGTGAGTTCGAGCCCCGCGTCGGGCTCTGGGCTGATGGCTCAGAGCCTGGAGCCTGTTTCCGATTCTGTGTCTCCCTCTCTCTCTGCCCCTCCCCCGTTCATGCTCTGTCTCTCTCTGTCCCAAAAGTAAATAAAAAACGTTGAAAAAAAAAAAAAAAAAAGAGTAGCAGAGTCTCTGATGATTATCATGTGCTCTTCTCACTCAACTCTGACAGTTGCTTCCCCAAACCTGTGTACCCACTAGCGATTGGTGATATTGGTGGTGATTGGAGGGTCACCTGTTGGAGGGCTGGCATCAGCGCTTCTGGTCCACTGTTGATCCATCTTAACTATGAATGAGGGGGTCATCAGGCCATGTTTGAGTGTTGTGATGAAAAGGCAATTTACAGTTTGTCTTCCAATCTAGTTGTGGCTGAAAGCTCATAAAAGTAAATATCGAGTAAAGTGAATAATAAACGGTGAAGCTATATTCCTAGCATAGAAGGAGGTCTATAAATAGCGTAAAATTAAACCCAGGAGTTCTGCATAGGAATGCAGTTCTACCAAATTGTCAATCTGGTTCATCTATGCTAGGTATCTGTCAGGTTGTGGCAAAGTGTGCTTACCTCCTCAAAGTTCAAAAGAGCTTTGTTTGGGGATTGGTTTCCTTGGACTGGAACACTTAGAACTATCTTTATACCCTCCCTTTTTTTCCTGATAAAAGTATAACGAACATAGGCATTCTGAATCCTATCACTGGTCTCAGAAGGATGCTGAATAGGAATTTTCTTTATAAAAAATCTCCATCTTAACATAGAAATAGTTGAAACTCTATTTAAACAACTTGGACGTCTTGTTTTCTGTGATTCCTTCGTGCCATTATGCAGGCCGCTCCTCTTTCCCTGCCAAAAGAAAATCCCCAGCTGAAGGAGGGTGGACGGGTTTGCTTGGAAGAGAGTTGGCATGGTCCTTTGCCCTAGAATTTTGAGGAGGTGAAAAATCACGACTGTGCCCGTCACTCAGATACTTGAGTGCCTGCTCCGTGCCAGACCCATGCAGTGTGGGGATGCAGTCATAAATGCAAACGGCAGAGTCTTTACCTGTGCGGAGACTGAGTGATCAAATCCCTACAGATCCACCGAACATGAAGTCGAGGCAGTGCCGTGAGGAAAAGACACGGAACAGAGACCGGGACGAGGTTGTTGGTGGACTCGGCGGGGGGGGGGGGGGGGGGGGGGGGGGGTGCTGATGATTGGAATGAAGTCCAAAGCCCTGTTGGGAATTGGGAGTACGGAGGGGCAGGATGGCCTAGGAAGAGGGAGCAGAGTGGGTAGATGTCTCAGGATGAATGGGGAAAGCACGGAGCCTTGAGAGGACCAAAAGAAGGCTAGCCGGTGGGACCGGGGTGCTGCAGGTGAAGGGGAGCCTGGGCACGTAGTTGGCGGGGCCAGATGAGGTTAACTGAGAATTTGAGTTGTTATCCCAAAAGCAGTAGGAGTTATAAAGGGAGAGTTGGGACAGAAGAATAAGTTTTCTTCCAAAAATGGATTTTTTTTTTAAAAAAGCTTCATCATACATTTTTTGATAGGGCATTTTTGGATTTGTTAAACGAAACAATTATTATTTAGTTGTAGAAGGTTCACCCTATATCTGTAGTGAATGAATGATAAGGAAAGTTTTCTTTTGGGGTCAAGAGAGAAAGGAGTACTTGGTTTCTTAAGTGTAAATAGTGTGATTTTTCTCTCTGTAAAGAGGCAAAATCTCATGGATCTCAAAGCCCAAACAGTGGCCAAGTGAATTTTTAAATTTAAGCCAACTTAAATGGAAAATTTAGTTCCTCAGTCACACTAGCTTCAAGTCAGGTGCTCACTAGCCACATGCGTGGGACACACGGGTATTGGACAGTGCAGACATACATTCCTATTGTGGCATAGAGTTTTGATGGATGGTGCTGGTCTGGAAGAAAAGCAGTGCTATAGGAGTCTGAAGATCTGAGTTCTGATTGCCTTGTCCTGCCAGACACATTCTCCTTGTCCTTTCCATTCAACCTAATTCTGGCTGGCTAAGAATCCCCAAGATTGAAGTTTGCCACTCTTACAGGACTTTCCCTGAGTTTGCAGGCTCATAGTAGAGAATGCACATAGGTGCAAGAATTCTCAGGAACCCTCATGAAAGCTGGAAACTGTTTCCCAGATAAGATCAGCAAATTCAGTTGTTGTTCACAAGGCGGATGTGGGCAGCCAGCGGGTACTTTATTTTATAAAAGGTAGGGGCTGAAAATAAGGCATGGGCTAGTCTTGGCTCTAAGGCCAAAAGTTTCCTACCACTGATCTAAAGCCCTGACAAGAGCCTGCCTTGTTTTGCCTTCACGAACTGTCAGTCTTTGTCCTCTCTCAGAGCAGCACACTTAACTATGACCTTAAACTTCTTAACCTGAGGAACTGGTGGCGTCACTGCAGTTGATGTGGAATTTGAGCTTTACCTCTAGGGATAAATACAGAGCTTCATTTTTGCGTTGGAATTAAAGCTCTTCTTTGGGTCAAGTAAGATAATAAGGTTGGGTTTCAGACATCAGAGGGCAATCTCAGGGGTGGATGGGGGCACCTGTAGAGACACTACCTAATTTTTTTTTTTTTTAATTTTTTAATGTTTATTTTTGAGAGACACAGAGTGTGAGCAGGACAGGAGCAGAGAGACAGACAGACAGAATCTGAAGCAGGCTCCAGGCTCCGAGCTGTCAGCACAGAGCCCGACGCGGGGCTCAAACCCACGAACCGTGAGATCATGACCTGAGCCACAAAGGCTCCCCTAGACACTACCTAATCATGATGGACTCGTGAGGTGACCTGGAGAGGCAAAAAACATGAGAGCCCTACGATATTTGAACAAAGCTTATCAACAGGTTGGGGGTGGTGGTGGTGTGCAGGGGTCAAAAGACAATCCGAGACATAAGAGCTAGTAAAGGAAGACATCTCAGAAACTGTGTAGGGGGAACCCATAACCCATGACAGTTGATACGATGTAGCCTAGGGACTTCTGTGCTGTTGGTCCTTGCTATTAAGTGAAGAGATGGGTGGAGGTGAATAAGCTCTGTAGAGATTGCAGGTGGGTGAAAGGTCTCTAATACAGTCACTAAAGGGCTGCAATCACAAAAGATGATGCTGAAGAAGACGCAGTGCCGAGGGGGTGTTTGTAAAGCACAGTATTTACATGGTGTCCGTGTGCTGACTTTCCTTAGTGGGTAACATGGAGAGGCGTGGTTCTTAACAGGTGCGGTGATGGTGAGATACCGTTAACTTTTGAAGACAAATCCTGCCTACTTAGTTCTTTGATTTGTTGTAGATTAGGCTGTCCTGGGTTCACGCTGCCAGAGTTTAAACCCAATCCACTTGAAGGAGGAGCTTCCAAGTCCCTCTTCTTTCCTGATGAAGCCATAAACAAGCATCCCCGCTTCAGGTGAGTATGTCTCTGCGAATGAATGCAGATGTGCCTCACTCTTACCATGCCTTCTAGGAGTAAGGTGCTCCTTCCCAGAATCCTTGTCGCAGTTAAGAGTTCAGGCTTCTCTTGTAACTAACCAGAGAAGCCAGCGGGCATATGTGCATTTGGTTGGTTGTTTGATGCTGCTCAGAACCCGGCTGACTTGCCCATTTTCCAAGTCATCTTAAAGCGATTCGCTTCTTTAGTGTGTGACAGCATTCTCGAGCAAGAGGCAGAGGAAGTGGTGTTACTGCAGAGCCTGCTGAGAGAACATTCCATCAGAATATCTTGATCCACATTAAAGTCACTGTCTTCTTTAATGTGCAGGTTCTTTTCAATCCTAGTTCCTTAAATGCCTGTTTGGGGAAGTTTTCTCTTAGAGAGGGACAGAAAAGGTAGAAATAACTAAGTGATCTACTCCTCTCACTCAGTATACCTTCAGAATGAGGCAAAATATGTACAACTCTATACCTTCTGCTCTATTAACTTCTAGGTCTGTCTGTAGTTTCATTCCTGGGTTTTAAGTTGCTTCAGGGCCCACACTCGTCAGATCTTGCTTTGTACCTTGAGTTTCCTCTGACAGCCTAAACCTAGGCTCCTCACCTACAGGCAGGAACCACGGGACTTGTCAGCGTTCACTCCTTTAACAGGTCTGCACATCTGCTATATGCAGAGACTTTTGGGGAAAACAGATTTATAGACATAATTCCCAATTTCAAGTGTTATATTGTGCCAAGGGGAAAATAAAGATACTCGGCTGCAAGAAAAGGTAGATGATGCTGGATGCCAAAAGGTAGATGCACCAGAGACCCTCCTTGGAGAAAAGAGGATGCTTCTGACTGAGGGGATCACAGCAGGCACGTGAAAGAGGTGGCCTGCATGCTGAGGCTATATCACCACTGTCTGCTAGAATCATACTGTCAGCCCCAGATGTAATTTTAAATTTTCTAATAGCCACGTGAAAAAAGTAAAAAAGATGGACTTTATTTTTTCTTTAATTATCCAAAATTATTTCAACATGTAACCAATACTTTAAAGTTATTGATAAGACCTCTTTATTTTTGTAGTAAGTCTTCCAAATTCGGTGTGTATTATTATCTTTACACCATATTTTAATTAGGACTAGCCACATTTCAAGTGCACAGTAGCCACAGTGGACCCGGTGGCTTCTGGATTAGACACTCTGGATCTAGAGGAGAAGTATTAATGTTGCAGTTTGGGTAGGGCAGTACCAAGGTATTGGGGCTCCAGAGATGCCTAGGGAAAGTGAGTACTAAAGTTTGGCGTCTTTGTAGTTAACACGGGGAACGGTAACATACAGTGAGACCAGACCATGGCATACCCCAGACACTTGAATTTGATCTGGTAAGTTACAGGCAACTGGGGAACCCAGGGTTGAACAGGGAAGAGAACGGCATTCTCGAGCAAGAGGCGGAAAAAGTGGTGTGACCACAGAGCCTTCTTACAGAACATTCCCTTCGAGTATCTTGATCCACATAAATATTCAGTAGGATTGCCTCAGAGATTTAGTTTGAGGGAGGGTTTCGTTCTGTTTATTTGTATACGATCAAATTCTTCTTGTACATGATGTTCTTAGGTAACCGATTCTTGACGTTTGATTGTCTGTTTTAGTACCCTAACAAGAAATATCCGACACAGGAGAGGAGAAAAGGTTGTCATCAATGTACCAAGTAAGTCCAGAGTGAGGCGATAGCATGGGAGAGAGACAGCTGTGGAATTGTTGTTTCATCCTGGAATCTCACCCATATCCCTTTTTTTATTTTTAATTTAATAATACAGTATTTAAGGACAAGAATACACCATCTCCATTTATGGAAACATTTCCTGAGGATGAGGAGGCAGCAAGGGCTTCCAAGCCTGATCATATTTACATGGATGCCATGGGATTTGGGATGGGTAATTGCTGTCTTCAGGTATGGCTTCAAGTACACAGAGAGGCAGTGTGCCCTTGTCCCTTTCTGTTTACTAATTTCTTTTTTTTTTTTTTTTTTTTTTTTTTTTTTTTTTAATAAATGTGCATTTAAAAAAGTTAACGTTTTAATCAAGTTGAACTGAAAGCCAAGTGTGCCTTTCTGAAAACTAGTGATTTTAGTAAATTCATTAGTAGCTATCTTGATGGAGAATTGACAGAATCTCCAGTTTACTGCAAATATAATTAATTGTTAATTAATTTATAGTGTGAAGCATTCCATGATGAGTCTCTAATCTTTTCTAGTGATGGATGGTCTGGCTTAGAGCTTGTAACATCATTCAGATCTGTTTGTGAAAATGAACTCTGGATGCACTCCAGTGATTTTGTGATCCAAGGGAAGGACTGTCTGGACATGAAATTTTCATACTCAGGCAAGGCCATCTAGTGGCATAAAAAGAACTATTTAGCCACCTGTGTGTGTCTTGCCCCATGCTAAGTCACACAGGGTAGGGTAGCCTTTCTGTGTTTACTTGATTAAAACTTTCTGTGGATCTAATGAGATGGTGGATGCCCTTGGCACAGGCATTGTGCCCAAGGACCTGGGCGGGAGGGCACAGAACCTATCAGGCAGCATGTGGGCCTGCACTAGGGTCTCAGTTGTTACTCCTCAGGTATTTGGGGAGCTCCATTCACTTCTTTTGGTCTTGGTTTTCTTATCCGTTAACAGGAAGGTTTATATTAAGGCCCCTTCTGGGTCTGACTCTAAGCTAGTATTTACTTCATTGTTTTTGTCAACAGAAGTGCTGGTTTTAATAACCCTTCGTTTGCTTAAAATCATGTTAGAACAGGAGTTAGGAGTTGCACAAATTGAAAATTTCAAATAAAAATAGAGGCTACTTGTTACTGTCTAAGGAGATTGTATCCAGTTCGGATTACTTGAAGATTAGAAATGGTGTCCTTAGAGGCCTGGAAGGGTGCAAAGCCCGGCCCCCTTCTGAGGTCACTGGGTCTCCACTCTGCCTACTTAGCACCCAGAGGCCAAAAGCACAGAATTCCCATCATCTTGAACAGCTGCAGCATAGCCATGCACCTTCTTGCACATATAGCTCCGATGTGCTTATTTTTACAACTATGGGGAATGAAAATTGAATGCCAGAGTCCCATTGTTCTATGCTAAATGTGTCTACATGACCATAATTTTTTTTTTTTTTCTGATTTTCCTGGCTTACATAGGTAGTATAAAGTGTGTCTTCCAAACAAATATAGGCCATTAGGCTTCTTTACAAATGGTCACGTTTCATAAAGGGAGCTTTTGACTTTGGCCTGTATACCTGCTTTCCTGTCTTAATTACCAGTTTTTTTGTTTGTTTGTTTGTTTGTTTTTTAAGAGCACCATTAAGATCTAGGGTTTAGTGCATGGCTTTAAAGTTGTGTCAGTGCAATGGGAGTACTGATTGCCTTTTCTTGGTTTAATATGAAACCAAGGAGCCTTGCCAGGGATAGCACAATTACTTCATTCCACCAGGATGGTCTTTCCCTTGTACTACTATACAAGTAAATGTGCTCTAATGGTGGGTAGTAACATTTTTATTGCCTGGAGATGCACTTTTCTGTCCAATTTAAGCTTTGTTGTGGATTTAGGATTAAGGTTTCTTTTTTCTCGATGGCATGTCCAAGACCGTACTTTGAATACTCCACTTAAAAAGTCGTTAGCACAGGTCATGTATGGTGTATGGGAAATAAGATGAATTCCATACCTCCCCACCGAAAACCCTGTTTTGTATCTCTCAAGTGGAAAAGTAGAAACAACTTAGCAAAGTAAAGCAGAAAAAGTTTTAAAGTAATTTTTAAAGGTTAATGAAGACTTAATTGTACAAAACAAAAAAATCATTTAACCACATTCAGATTCTTGACTCTTCGGGAGTCAAGATTTTTCAGGAATCATTTAATAAGTTGGTGTACATTGTGCTAGGTTTTCCCCCTCTAAGAAAATCAGGTGGCTTCAAAACTGGGTTCTAGATAAATTTTAGAGATTCAGGTTTCCAACATCTGTTTTTCATACTTTCTCTTTTTTACCCCTCTGTTTCCTAGTGACATTTCTTCTCCTCCTATATGATACTTTAAAAGGACACCAGAGGCCAAAACTGAATATTCATACTTTAAGGCATAAGAACTCTTTGTTTTCCTTTCCCCACTAAAGCCATTAACCATAGTCCTGTTTGATTTGAAGATAGCTCTAGAGTACTGAAGCCAGTTACTAAATAGATTTAGAATAACTAAGTCACTTCACTGTTGTAACTTAACTATTGAGTTCCAGGTGCTAATTTTCTTAAGGATACCTTACCCCTAGATTTCCCTATGAGTTGCCTAGTATATACCAGGCTGTCTAAGAGAAGCCAGTCAAAAAACTGGAGAGAAAACACTTACATTGTATCTATTTAAAGATAGAAATAACAGACACACACTACAATACCTCAAGAGTAACAAAAGAGGATCTAAACAAACTAAGGGATGCATATTCAGAAGAATTCAGCAGTCAAAACACTTGGGGAACATTGAGGTATTTTTAATCTCCGTCCATCTGAATGTGGCCTCTAGAGTCCCTGTTTTTTAAGTATCTCACCATTTTATGAAAATAAAACTTCTTTACTCCCCCGTAGTCTCCTCTTTAGCACCTTCTTTCCTTCAAGATACACAAATTCATTTAACAAATGTTTATTAAGCACCAGGTAAGTGTCACTTTACTTCACATTTGGAATAGAGAACAGCAGGGCCCATCCCTGCCCTCAGAGAACTCACATTTTCGTGGGGATTCCCAGCTCAGAAGTGTCTAAATACTCAGCTTACTGTCTTCTGTTTTCTTACTTGCCATTTTATACTTCCCTTGCACAAGGTGATTCCTGAGTTCCCACCACATTGCCGAAACTGCCCTTGTTTTGGTTAAGAGTGACCTAATTACCAGTCCCTCTTAATCTTTATTTTAACCTTTGATACGCTTATTCCTTGATGTCTATGATGAATTAGTTTGTAGTGACTGATTAATTGCCAGTACATTTGAAATAAAATACAGCATTGAATCATTAACAGGAATTACAGCAAGTTGTCTAAATAATTATTTTCTGTAATTAGTTACCACCCTGACGTGAATAGAATTCTGCAGGTAGGCTGTGAGTCTCGAACAGAAGTTCCTCTGAGACCTGGCTAGAACTATGGGAAATACCTGGTTGGGATTATAACAATAAACATCTTCGCTCAGCTGCTTCCTCAAGGATTAAGCTCATAAATCACCTCCTGTACCAACACGAAATTCAAAATTTTCATTGTTAAATAACAGAGGACATGAAAGCTGTTCCCAGTTGGCAGTTTATATGGATGTGCTAACACAGTCATGATTTGTGTTCCCAGTCCCTTCCTTCCACTGCTCCTCACCCCAAGGCAGGCAGAACCTTTTTGGTTTCTTTCGGGTAATTGTTTTTAGATTTGTGCTGATCAGTCATGTGATGTTTTTTCTCTGCCTTACTCTTAAGTGTTCTGCTTGCCCCTCTTATGTGGGCTCCCTGTCCATCTTGAGAACGTGACCTGAGCCTTCTCCCTATTTCTCCACCCCCAGACTTTTCTTCTGGGCATCAGCCCTGGAGACCCCACCTCTTTAAAGGGCTTCTTTATCTGCTCCTGGCCTTTTACGCCCATCGTGTCTTGGTGCCTCTGCTCACTGTCTGTCGTAAGAACACCCAAGCCAAAACTCGAGTCACACTTTTGTTATCTGTACCCCACTGGCCCCCAGGGGCTGCTTGGACTTGGGTGTGCCCCTTGCACCAGCCGTGCTTGGTTCTTCCGGGTTAGTTGCAGCATTTTAACTAACTCTCTCTTCCTCTAGTTATGTCCTGTTCCAAGCTATACTTTTAATGCTGCCAGGGAACTTTGAAACCCACCCTTTTGTACCCAAGTTTATATAACCCTTCAGCTATAACTGAAGTGAATGGAAAGCTATAGAGGGAAATGAGCCAGCACAAGAGGAAATGCCTTGCTGAACTCATTATTTCTCGAGTGTCTTACTTTTTTTTCCTGACATTTTAATCTTACTTAACTTAGGAAATGGTTGTTTATATTAGTTGTGAACATGATGAAATACCATATTTTGGCAAAATTCAACCATGACAACTTTTTAAAAACATTCTGTATTAAATGTTATTAGTGATGGAGTAACCGTGGTCCCTTCTCCAGCCATCTTCCTTGTCAGAGTAATCTTTGGGAAGGATGTTCATGATTTGTTGTTGTTAATAACTTGCAATTCTTAAACAGGTAACGTTCCAAGCCTGCAGCATATCTGAGGCCAGATACCTTTATGATCAGCTGGCCACCATCTGTCCAATTGTCGTAAGTAGAAATGACATCTTACTTTAAACGCTTCTTTGTCTAGAGGGTGCTTGTGCAGAATTTGCTGACCATGTGCTATTGAAGTTCACGTAAGACTTCATTCAGAAATGAACTGACATAAATAATCTACATTCAGAGCTAATGGACTAAGACTCTAAGCTGTAAGAGTTTACTGTTGCTAGTAAGACATTTGAGGGTTAAAGTGTTAAGTTTGATTGCAGCCATTTCCCCCTCCCATCCTTCACATTCTCATGTGAGAGAGGGGATGATTTAAAATGCATCAAATCCGGAGCGCCTGGGTGGCTCAGTCGGTTAGGCTTCCGACTTCGGCTCAGGTCATGGTCTCACGGTCAGTGAGTTTGAGCCCCGCGTCAGGCTCTGTGCTGACAGTTCAGAGCCTGGAGCCTACTTCGGATTCTGTGTCTCCCTCTCTCTCTCTGCCACTCCCCTGCTCATGCTCTGTGTCTGTCTCAAAAATAAATAAAAACATTTAAAAAAAATTAAAATGCATCAAATCCAAGAACTTGAGTCTCTTCTGGTGTCTTTGACTATGAGAAGTCAGGTACAGACAGATGGAGTATAACTCCATAGGGGTTGCATAAACTGATTGTTCTAGACCAGAGATAACTGCATGGTGCTTTTCTCAGCTTGTATGTGACACTTTGAACCTGCAGGTGCTGACTCTTGTTTGTTTTTAGATGGCTTTGAGTGCTGCGTCTCCTTTTTACCGAGGCTATATGTCAGACATTGATTGTCGCTGGGGAGTGATTTCTGCATCTGTAGATGATAGAACTCGGGAGGAGAGAGGACTGGAGGTGGGAGTGATTTTCCTTAATAGCCTTTTAAATCAAGCAGGTAAAATGGGGTTATTGTAACTATTTGCCATTTTGAAAGTCTCCCTTAAATTTTTGTCTTGAGTGGGTTAGTGACATATGGGAAGAAATTGACAGGTTATCAACCTGTCTTTGATGTCCTAGTGTTTGTGTTGGGTGAATACGTGGGAAACACGATTTGGTTTGGGTGAGGAGGTTTCATCACTTGTTGAAATCTGTATTTGTTTCATCCTCTTCTAAAACTAGTAGTGCTATTTTTCTATATTTTGGAAGTCCGTGCTGATGGGCTGCTACTACCAGAAGGCTTTTTGGTGCTACATGAATGTTTTTTATATGAAGATTTCTGCTGTGGAATCTGTTGTCAAAGATTATTTTGCCGCATTGAAAGGGGTTAGGTTTACCTAATAAGGGTAGGTTAGTGCCTCTTGTTTTATATGACTGTGCACCTCTCCCAAGCTGGAGTGTGCATCAGAACCACCTATGGACATGATTAAAACTAGTCCCCCAGGCCCATTTTCAATCTAATACACCAGTATCTCCAGAACTGGGACCGGGGCACGATTTGTAAAGCCCTCTCGAGCACCCTGGATGTTCTCCACCAGGACTGCAATACCACTGCTCTCATCTTGCTGTGAGCGTTCGTACATTGTTCAGCAGGTTGCCGAAGGAGAGAGAAACTGTAAAGGAGAAATGATCTTAATAGCTTCGTTTTACATTAATAGGTTTGCTTCTAAACTTTGCATTTATTTTCTTAGCTTAGGAAGAATTAAAAGAAAAAAAAGTATATTTAAATCCTATCAGAACAGCTACTTAAATTACTTCCAAAGTTGTTAAAAACGTAATTTTCCCTAATAACTTCTCAGGATTAACTTATTTGAGGATCTTAAGGTTGGACATTTGTATGTAACTGTTATATATAAAAAATCATTTTAGTAGAACTATTTGGGGCATTAGTTTATTTCCAGAGCTTATTTTCTATGGCATTCATTTATATTTTTTTCAATTTTAGCCACTGAAGAACAATAGCTATAGGATCAGTAAATCCCGATATGATTCAATAGACAGTTATTTATCTGAGTGTGGGGAGAAATACAATGACATCGACTTGACAATTGATAAAGAAATCTACCAACAGCTGCTGCAGGAAGGTGAGTAGCCACTCGTGTTCTCCAGATTTGATTGTACACCTTTAGTTCTTCAAAATTCTTTACAACTCTTTGCCGACCCCTGGTCTGGTTTCTGTTCCTGGTGTGAAGTCTATAACTTGTCTTATTTGGCTGCCTGTTCCTAAAGTTTCAAGTTTCTAATTCTGAGATCTTCTTGGCTTTTAGCAAAGGAACTTACTTTGGAGGTCTGTATCTAGGTCCACACCAGTGCCCCAACCAGGCATTGTGTAAGTAGCAAATAAAACTCTGGCATGTGCTCAGGGTCTGTAGAATAAAACCGTGGGTGACATACAGAGACCGAACTAACCAGCCACTTCCTAAGCTTCTCAATGCCCTCTCTTCACACCTGCTGAGCTGTCCTGTCTCCTGACTGGACGTAGACACGGTGGAGCCTACAGCTTTGATGGGAGTCCTGTGTAATCTCTTGACAGGCATTGATCATCTCCTGGCTCAGCATGTCGCTCATCTCTTCATCAGAGACCCACTGACTCTATTTGAAGAGAAAATACACTTGGATGATGCCAATGAATCAGACCATTTTGAGGTATCTCCTCTAATTTTTTTTTTTAATGTTTGTTTGTTTTTGGGAGAGAGACAGAGTGTGAGCAGGTGAGGGGCAGAGAGAGAGAGAGACACACACACACACAGAATCTGAAGCAGGCTCTAGGATCTGAGCTGTCAGCACAGAGCCTGACGTGGGGCTCGAACTATTGAACCACGAGATCATGACCTGAGCCGAAGTCAGACGCTTAACTGACTGAGCCATCCAGGCGCCCCATCTCCTCTGTTTTAAATGCATTTCACTTCACTAACCAAGATGGAGGTCATTTTCTGTACCTGTGTACAGCTAGTAATAGGAGAAATGTCCTATGCCTTTCATTATCTAGTGCAGTAAAGAATTAAGAAATTTTAAATTGGTTTAAAGTACCCTATTTTAGGATTCTGACTGGTTATATCTCTGGTTCTGCATTTTTTTTCAGTATTTTCTCTTGCTTGCATAAACGTGAAAAATTCAAACATGACACATGAAAAGATGGCTTCAGTTATTTCTGTGCTGCCAGCATATCACCCAACTTTTGTTAAATGTTTGTTTACCTAACAGGTCACACACCAAGAAAATCTCAAATGGTACCTTTTTGTATTTGTAAATTAAAGAGTACTTGGTATTAACAGTGAATAATCATCCCTTAATAAAGACCAAACCATCTTAATATTTTACTGGACATATGGAAAATTGGTTTTATTTTCCGTTTGTTTGATTTTATATAGAACATTCAGTCCACAAATTGGCAGACAATGAGATTTAAGCCCCCTCCTCCAAACTCTGACATTGGATGGAGAGTAGAATTCCGACCCATGGAGGTAAGATACACATGGGCAGGAAGTGACTTAAATGTACCCGTCCTCTGCCCATCACCCTTCTGATGCTCTTCTCAAAGGTTCTTGGAAGGACATTCAAATCAAGTTTGTGCTTGATAAAAGCAGGTCTAAAAGCTAAGGTGGATTGATTTCTGAGAAGAGATTGTGGGCAGAGGGCTTCAAGCCCTGGGTGGGGGAAGTCGGAGCTGGCTTGGGAATGACATGATCTGAGGAGGGGCCTGTAGGGAAGAGCATGTTTGTGTGGTTGGTCCATAACTTTTCTGGGTTCCTGCTTGTGTAGGTTCAGTTAACAGACTTTGAGAACTCTGCATATGTGGTGTTTGTGGTGCTGCTTACAAGAGTGATCCTTTCATACAAACTGGATTTTCTCATTCCACTATCAAAGGTAAGAATGTGTTTGAGGGTAGTGATCAGTCTAGGTATCTATGGATTATCTATGGCTCGTTTACATATAATATTTTAAATCTGACCTTATTTTGAATTTTCACCATTTAGATAAGATGCTTCTCCCTCCACTCTATTCTCTTTTCCTTTTAAACCTAAGCTTAGGCTGTAGATTTTGGTACTGCACTGGTGGAGGTTACTCGAAAACAAAGTGCTAACACTAGCTCCTTTGCCCATTTGAAAGAGATTTGGGGTTGCTTTTGAATAACCACTTTTATAGAGGCTTTCAATTCAGGGTGATGGTTAGAATCCACATATTGATTTCATTTTCCCCCAAATGCCACTTTGGTGACCATATTAAAACTGAGAGGGGAATGTATAACTGCAGGGAAGGGTCACGTCGGTGGAATCAAACTGGAGGTGTTTCTGGACAATGTAGATGGGACTATCAGAAAAACAACTAATAGTTAATCAGCTTCAGCCCAACAAAACCAAAAAAGGAGCTCTCTGGAAGCAGTTTCCCAGCAAAGCCTTGGAACAATTTCAGGCCATGAGGCAGCAGCTAACTAACTAGAAACCTTTGGTTCTGGGGCCACTCAGTCTCTGGCCACAGAAAGTGTCTGGGAAAGGTGGTTGGGCCCAGTGAGGGGTCTGCTGAGGTTTTATTTCCAGAGAAAGGAGAAGGATAGCAGCCCTGTCAGAGCAAGCATGGAAGAAAGAAATAAATGCCTAACACTCAGCATCTTCTCCCACCTCACTGCCTACTCCCTCCATCAGGTGAGACTTGTCCCGCCCACACACCCTGAGGGAAGTTTGGCCATCAGCCTATCTCTGCCTGCTCTGAATGCCCAGGCCAAAAGTAAGCCACAGAATTGTGTGAGTCCATTTGCCCATATGGGTGTCCCTGCCAAGAGGGATCAGCCCATATAAGGAAAATTCTCTGTAAGCTACCTGCCTAAGCCTTTGTTAACAAGTATGAATAGATGTCTGAAAGTCCATAGAAAATGGGTAACTTTTAATAGCCTTAAAGGGCCCAGCTGGGTTTACAGAATGCCTTCTCCTCAGTGAACTAGTTAATTAAAGAAAAACGGAAGAATTCTTAAATGCTAATTAGTGCCCTTGAAAAAATTCTAGAGAAGAGTCATATGGGTAAAATAAGCAAGCGTATGGACCAGAGAGCATTTGGAGAAGAGTTCTTAAAAAAAGCTACACTTTTAAAACTTCATATATTCACCAGTAGAGCCCATGTTACTGAAGATCCAAGTTAATGATTTGGGAAACCAAATTGAGATTTATCTCAGAATGACAAAGAAACAGAAATTATGGAAAAACTGAAACATGGAGAATTGCTCTGGAAAGTTCAATGTTTGTAATACTTTAGGAGAAATGATCTATATAAAAAATGGGATCCAGTAATCAGAGAAATAGAAATTTCTCTGACTGAAAGAGTTCATTAAGGGTGAAACAACTATTTAAAGAACCCAAATCTAGGAATTTCTGAATCCTAAAGAAGGAAATCAACCATTTGAACAGGAGAGAGAATTCAGATTGGATAGCTACCAAGAGGAAAAGAAACTAGTTGATCTCCTTCCTCATCTACAACATCAAATGCTAAGAGATGGAGAAAAGTTCACAAAATCCATAAAGGTAAAGAAAACAATTCTCTTCCCAAACTTCAAAATCCAGGCTATTCCTCAATAGATTATTAGAGCTAAAAGCATGCCAGAACTCTTACCAACTGAGGGGAAAGTGGAAGGAGATTTATAGTAGGTATCCTTTAATGCTTGACATTTAGAGAATTTCATAACAAAGCAAGAAAAACTAATAGTATAGAAGTAAGATTTTTTACTTCTAACCTGCTAGTTTAAAAGGATGGGAAAAGAACGAAGAACTTCCCAGTGCTAATGAACAAAAATTTGGGGTGGGACTAACCACCTTCAGAGTGGTAAGACAGTATAGCCCAGAGAACATAAAATGATGAAAGTAAGATAAAAACAAATTTGAATAGACTATTCTACTAAAAAGCTAAAACAGATGATAGAAAGTAACAGCATAATGGTGTAGGGTGTTTGCCTACCTAAAACAAGGACAAGTGTGGAAAACCAAGGGCTAGGTAATGACCTTTAAAGGATAGTAGAAATAAGAAACTAATAACAAAATTTGAGAATTAAGTATTAAATGAAATAGAGAAAGCAGTTTTCTGTATTCTTCCAAGATCATGTTAGATTTTTGTTGTTGTTGTTGTTGTTGTTATTCCTTTAACTATAGCAGACATTTCTTAAGGAGCATAAAAAAATTTAAAGGCACTGTAGTGTGGTGTCTCTGATGTGGCTGCATTATGAGCATTAAATTCATAAATCACTTGTATTCCTTACCGGCTTTTTAAGCTGAGCAAAGGTGCTACCATCACCGTGCCTCCATTTGCATGTGTAGAAGTGGGCTACACGGCTGTTGTAAGAACATGTGGGATTCATGGAGGTAAATCACTTAGAGTGCCTTGTCTGTTACTCACTGACAGGCCATATGATCAGAGAATGAGAATAAAAGACTAAAGTAAACCTAAGCAGTCAAACTGAGAATCTGAAGTGCAGTAGTACAGTATACTTGTAAGAGAAATTCAGAAAAGCAAAAATTAAAATAGTCCTTTATGAACTTTGATCAAGGCTAAGAAAAAATTTTAGAAAAGAAAACCCATTTGTAGCCATGATGGAATTTTAGACTGTTATTTGGATATGTTTCTAGAAGTGTCTAGATCATTCAGAAGGTCATGTATCTTAAACATGACAATAGAAATTGAGTATGGGAGACAGGCTCGGTAATCAAAGACTTGGCACTATCCATCCTAGTTCAACAAGACCCTTTAACTTGTACATGTTAAGATTCTCCTAAAATTTCATTATGGGAAATTAAGTACTACTTTAAAAGCTCTACTTTAAGGGTCTTAAAAAGTCATTTGAAAAATAAAGAATTGACAATAAAGATGTTTTTGTACGTGGAGACAAATGAAAATGAAATTACACAATGGTCCAAATTTGGGGGACAGAGTGAAAAAGCAGTTCTAAGAAGGAAATTCACAGCAATGCAGGCCTACCTCAAGAAACAAAAATTTCAAAGAGCCTTACATCTAAATGGCCTAGAAAAAAGGAGAACAAAGCCCAAAGTTAGAAGGAGGAAGGAGCAGAGCAGAAATAAATTAAATGGACACTAAAAAAATAAATGAAATTTAAACACCTTTAGATTCCCCAAGAAAAAGGACACAAGTAAGTAAAAGAGAAAATGAGAAGTAACAGCTGACGTCACAGAAAGGACTATGAGAGACTACTACAGAAAATTACATGCCAACAAATTGGACAACCAAGAAGAAATGGGATACATTCCTAGAAACAGAATCTTCCAAAACTCTATCAGGAAGAGCTAGAAAATGTGAACAGACCAAATACTACTAATGGCATTGAATTGGTAATGCAAAAACTCAGAAGTCCAGGACCAGATGGGTTTACAGGTGAATTCTACCAAACATTTAAGGAAGAGTTCATACTTGTTCTCCTCAAACTGTTCCAAAAAATAGAAGAGGAAGGAGAGCTTCCAAATACATTATATTATCAAAACCAGGTGAAGATACTGTAGGCTCATACCTTTTGATGAACAAAATCTGAAAGTTCTCAACAAAATATTAGCAAATTATATTCAACAACGTATTGAAAGGATCATTCACCACAATCAAGTGAGATTTATTCTGGGGATGCAGGCTGGTTCAGTAGTTGCAAATTAATTAATGTGATAGACCACATTAACAGAGAACAATAAAAATCTTTATTTTAGTAGATACAGGAAAAAAACATTGGACAAAATTCAACATCCATTCATGAACACTCCCAGTAAAGTGGGTTGAGGGGGAACATACCTCAACATAGTAAAGGCCATGTATGGAAAATCCACAGCTAATATCTTAGTTGGTGATGAAAAATTGAGAGCTTTTCCTCTAAGATCAGGAACAAGACTTAGTCAACATAGTCCTGGAAGTCCTCCTAGTCCTAATAGTTGACAAGAAAAAGAAATCAAAGGCATTTGAATTGGTAATGAATAAGTAAAACTCATTATTTGCAGATGACATGATACTATGTAGAAAACTCTAAAGAGCCCACCAGAAAAACCTATTTGAAATAATAAATGATTTCAGTAAAGCTGCAGGATACAAAGTCTGTTGCATTTCTATACACTAATAACCAAGTAGCAGAAAGAAAACAATTTTATATTCAGTTAAACCAAAAAAAAATAAAATACCTAGAAATAAACTTAGCCAAGGAGGTGAAAAACCTATACTCTTGATGGAAGAAATTGAAGATGACACTAAGAAATGGAAAGACATACCAGGCTTATGGACTGGAAGAATATTGTTAAAATATCTCTACTACCCATAGCAACCTGCAGATTCAATAAACCCCTATCAAAATACCAACAGTATTTTTCATAGAACTAGAATAACCCTAGAATTGTATGGAACCAAACCAAAAAAAAAAAAAAAACAAAAAAAAACAACTTCCCCCAAATAGCCAAACCAGTCTTGAGAAAGAGCAAAGCTGGAGGTAACACAATTCCAGATTCCAAGATGACATATTACAAAGCTATTGTAATTAAAACAGTAAGGTATACTGGCCCAAAAATAGACATATAGATGAATGGAACAGAATAGAGAGGTCCAAAATAAACCCATTCTTATGCAATCTATGACAAAAAAAGAGACAAGAATATACAGGAAAAGGCAGTCTTCTCAACAAACGGTGTTGGGAAAACTGGACTTTCTTACCTCATACACAAAAATCAGCTCAACAAGGATTAAAGACCTAAATGTGAGACCTGAAACCATAAAACTCAGAAGAAAGCATAAGTATTAATCTTTAACATGTACTGTTAGCAATATTTGTCTAGATTTGTCTCCTCTGGCAAAGAAAAGCCAAAGACAACTATTGGGATTACCTCAAAATAAAAAGCTTTTGCATAGAAAAAAAAATCATCAGCAAAACAAAAAGGCAACCTACTGAATAGGGGAATATATCTGCAAATGATATATGTGATAAGGGTTTAATATCCAAAATATATTTAAAAATCTCACCAAAAGAGGGGTGCCTGGGTGGCTCAGTCGGTTAAGTGTCTGACTCTTGATTTTTCGCTCAGGTTGTGATCTCACAGTTCATGGGATCGAGCCCCACATCAGGCTCTGTGCTGACAGTGCAGAGCCTGCTTGGGATTCTCTCTCTCTCCCTCTCACCCTGCCTCTCCTGCTTGCGTGCGCTCTTCCTTGCTCTCTTTCAAGATAAATAAACTTAAAAAGGAAAAAAAAAAAAACACCCACTTCAAATCTATCTGATTAAAAAATGGACAGAGGACCTGAATAGACATCTTTCCAAAGAAGACATACAGATGGCCAACAGACATGAAAAATTCTTCAGCATCACTAATTGTCAGGGAAATACAAATGAAAACCACAGTGAGATACCACTTTACCCCTGTCAAATGGCTAGATTAAAAAGACAAGAAATAACAATGTTGGCAAGGATGTGGAGAAAAAGGAACCCTTGTGCATTCCTTGGTGGGAATGCAAATTGGTGCAGCCGCTATGGAAAACAGTATGGAGGTTCCTCAAAAAATTAAAAATGGAATTACCATATGATTCAGTTAATTCAACTGTTGGGTATTTACCCAAAGAACATGAAAATATTAATTCAAAAAGATACATACCCCTACTATGTTTATTGCAGTATTATTTACAGTAGCCAAGATACAGATGCAATTCAAGTGCCCGTCAATAGATGGATTAAAGATGTGGTATATACATATACAATGGAGTATTGCTCAGCCATAAAAAAGAATGAGGTCTTGCCATTTGCAACAATGTGGATGGACCTAGAGAGTATTATCCCTAAATCAGAGAAAGACAAATACCGTATGATTTCACTTCTGTGTGGAATCTAAAAAAGCAAAATGAACAAAAAACAGACCCATAAATACAGAGAACTGATGGTTGCCAAAGGGGAGGGAGTGGGGAAGTGAGTAAATGGGGAAGGACAGTGGGAGGTATAGGCTCCAGTTATGGGATAAGTCACCAGGATGAAAGATAGAAGCATAGGGAATAGAGTCAATGATACTGTAATAGTATCATATGGTGACAGACGGGAGCTATACTTATAGTGAACACAGCACAACAGTTGTTGAATCACTGTGTTGTACACTGGAAACTAACATAACATTATGTGTCACCGATGCTTTGATAGAAAATAAAGACACTGATACTCGGGACCCATAGTGAAAAGCTCCGATTTAACTGGTCTGGTGTGTGGCCTGGGCATACCACATGACCTAGCAGTCTTCTGGGTATGTACTTCTTAAAGAAATTGGGGCTCACGAATAGTTGATGTGGCCAGAACTACCTGATTGAACCCTCTCTTCTTAGAGCGCTAAACATACTGGTGACCCTCTGTTCTTAGAAGACTAATCTTATTCCAGATCTGACTACCTATCAACTCTTTTCCTTTCCTCACCAGTGAGGAAAGCAAAACCCTAGTGGTAGGGAAGGCATAGCACTGAGCCAGAAGTTCTCTGGGTTCTTTGCTTTTTGTAACCCTGGCATCTTGTGTGAGTCACTGTGCTGTGTGAAGAGAACCAACCACCTGCCCTCCACAGATTTCTTACAAGGTTCAGTCACAAAGGTATTTTGAAATGCAGACAGCCTATGTGAATGTAAGTTTTTGTTGTGATTTTTTTTTAAAGTAAGTTTTCTTATTCTTACTAAAAAGTACATACTAATCTGTGTTGGAATGACCCAGGCCCTACAAAAAAGTGAAGTCTCTTGTTCCAACCAGAAAGCATTGAAGGTAAAAGTACAATTCTGAGGGGTGAGTCTTAATTGCAAAAGCAAGGAAGGCACCACCCCTTCTCTGTTGGATGAAGAATGTTCTGATGTAGCCGTGATTATTTTTCTCCCTTAGGTTGATGAAAACATGAAAGTTGCACAGAAACGAGATGCTGTCTTGCGGGGAATGTTTTATTTCAGGAAAGATATTTGCAAAGGTATTCATTCTCTTGGATTTCTAGGGTCACTCATTTTATTTTTATTTTCTAAGTGTTTATCTTGAGAGAAGTGGTGCCAGCCAGGGAGGGGCAAACAGAGGGGGAGAGAGAATCCCAAGCTGGCCATGGGCTGTTAGCACCGAGTCCAACACGGGGCTCGATCCCATGAACCCTGAGATCATGACCTGCGCTGAAATCAAGAGTCGGATGTTGACCCTACTGAGCCAGCCAGGCACCCCAGGGTCCCTCACTCTAGGCTTTCACAAGCCCCTAAAGCTCCTCCATCCTTTCATCTGGCAGGTGGGAACACTGTGGTGGATGGCTACGGGAAGGTCCAGAACACCTCGGAACTGACCACGGAGGACTACACCCTGATGAGCATAGACACCATCATCAACGGGAAGGTAGAGGCCCTGCCCATTGTACCTCACCACCTGCACCAGTGGGCAGGGCACTAATTATGTGTCCTGCTTCTCCTAGGAGGGTGTGTTTCCTGGGTTGATCCCGATTCTGAACTCTTACCTTGAAAACATGGAGGTGGATGTGGACACTAGATGTAGTATTCTGAACTACTTAAAGCTAATTAAGAAGAGAGCATCTGGTATGGTATCCTTTGCTTTTGTTTGAAATCTTAATGGAGGCAGAATCTCACAATCTTACAATATTGTTTCTTAATGTAGTCTTTTCAAATATACCATATTTTATCAGTGTATTTTTCACATTGAGGTCTCTGCAATAGGAAACACCTTATAATCATTGACATTTTAATTATAAGAACTTTTTTGTCTTACTAGTTCATAAAGCAGTGGTGCATCTCTAAGTTGATGGCATCTTGGACAATGAAATACAGTATCTAAATTGCCTTTTAGTCATTTATGGGAAGCTGTATTTGTTGGACATCATCATCAACAGCTCTATAGGGCTAAGTAACTCTAGGTTAAATAAGTGACAGCCACGATGTCTGCTTCTTCAGCCACCTTGCATACAGTGAGCACCCCAGAATCCTCTTTTTTGTTTTGAGATCACATTGACCAACCATGCCTACCAAGGGCCCAGCACAAGGGAACTGTCAGCTGTGAATAAGAGTAACAATGTCATCTACATTTCACTTGAGGCTTCCATAAACTTCCTGGAGTCTCAAAGGATACACCCTCCAAAGATGGTGTATCTGCCAATCTCTCCCTTCATTCTTAACTATTCCTTATTTTTTTCACCTCTTTGATCAAAGATGGTTCTGGGAACTCCATACCCTACAGTGCCTCCATCAGTCGCAGCTCTTCAGCTAAACAGGAGGACGTGTGCTCCAGTACATGTGTTAGTTCCCTTTTTTGATTTCTTTCCAGTTTTTTTTGAGGAGTAATGGACATGGATCCCTGTGTGAGTTTAAGGTACACAGCATGACGGCTTGATTTACATATATTGTGAAATGATTACCACTCTAGTTAAGACCATCTTCTTGTATAGACAGAATGAAAAGAAAATGTCCCCTTGTCTGAGAACTTCGATCTGCTCACTCCGCAGCTTGCCTGTCACACAGCAGGCAGTGTTAGCTCTAGTCCTCATCTTTGTGACATGCTAGTGGCTCCCCATTTCTGAAGAGGTGGCTGTGTCCCCAAGTGGGTTCATCTAACCTTGGGACGCATGTGTTCTAGTTACCTGCCTGCAACCTAAAATAATTCTTCTGGAAAACCTTTCTCCCCACCCTCTGGTGGGTACACCAGGAGGTCATACTGATTTTTCTTCAGGATTGTGTTTATGCTGGTCACTAAGTGGCAAGTTACAAAACAAAACAAACACACTTCTCTTATGTTGTCTTAATTTTTTTCCCCCAGGAGAACTAATGACAGTTGCCAGATGGATGAGAGAGTTTATCTCAAACCATCCTGACTATAAGGGAGACAGTGTAATCACTGATGAAATGAACTATAGCCTCATCTTAAAGTGTAACCAAATTGCAGACGAATTGTGTGAGTGCCCGGAGTTACTTGGACCAGCGTTTAGGAAAGTGAAATACAGTGGAAGTAAAACGGACCCTTCCAACTGACATTCTGTAGAAGGAAAAACACATTGCTGTTTTATTGAAAACTGACCGAGTGATGCTCTGCCCGTGAGTGGTATGAAGACCAAGTTCCAGAACAGCCCTGTGTCTTGGGCCGCTTGGCCCGAAATGGATTTAGAGGCTTCCCTTCAGTAGGTAAATCTAGAGTTTATACAGTGTACGTGTACATAGTAAAGTATTTTTATGATTAACAACGTATTTTAATAACCTTGTATCTAAAGTCACTGTGAACTGGCTTGTACATTTTCTTACTCTGGAACACCTATTGACTAAACAGTTTTGTAAATGTAACGTACTGGTGACTGTACTATACCTGCATTCCAGAGTTGGAGGCGTTTACTGTAAATTTTTGGTTTTTTTAAAGCCTTTACCAGGGACCTGATTCACTGAAATTTATCACTTCATTTTAAAAACAGGTGGCCTTGTGAATTCTCTGAGTCGTCTCCTTTGTTGTATAGTTAAAATCACTATCGAATCCATTGAAATGCTTTAAGGGTAATCTATGTTGTTTTTTTTATAATTGGAATAGTTAATAGGTTGGTCACCCTTCCTCAAGTTTTCACCTCTAAAGTCCATTGAACTGAAGGTACTTTTTTTTCTTTAAATTTGCTGATTTAGGCATTATGAGACTGGTATCCCTAGTTCACCTGTGGTGATTAGGGAAAGTGATTTTGTTTGTTTTTTAAAGGGCAGAATTGTTTGTCCTCCTGTACACACCAAGAGTAATGTCAGCAATGGCACCAGCCCTTGTGTTGTGGCCCATGGGGATTGATTGCTGCTATCTACTTACATTTTCAAACCAAATGCAGTTTCTGAAATTTTTGTTCTGTTACTCTTTATCTGGTTTCCAGTAAGCATATTGACATTCTTCCAAAAACCATTCTAGATTTTACCAAGGGAATATTCTACATAATGCTTATCTTCTCTGTGAAAATCATAAATGAATCATGATGTGCACTAAGTTTTGTGAATCAGGACCCTACATGTTTAATTGTAAATAATTTAAGTTTACACAATTGTCACTAGTGCATTCTGTTAAAGGTTTTTTTTCCCCAATTAGTTAAGTCCTAACTGCTTCTGAAATAACTATGTATAGTAGATGATGCAAACCTTTATAGGCCTAAACACTTAAACTGTAATGCTAATTTTAACAAATCGCGATAAAGCTGCTTCAGCTAAGCCTGTGTATGTATAAATACTAGGGTTTGTGCTATGTTTCATACATGTATTTTGGAGGATTAAAGAATGCCTGTTTTTTCATTTGCAGTTTGCTTGTGTAAATCAGGATGTAAAAAGGCAGATGAACTAAATGTGGTATGAGGAAATAAAACATGGAATTAGCATTCTGAAAACTCTTGAATGTGTGAGTTCCACAACTAACTGCAGCATGATGGGGATCAGAATTAGCCCAGATCTTCTGTGACGGTTACTTGTTTCAGTCCTCAGATGTCTTTAGAAAGAAGCCTGCTCTCAAAGCAGGTGCCTTCTCTCCCTTAGTGGCTGTCAACCCCTAGGGGCAGGGGAGGGACTTGCTCAATGGCTGAAAGAACCACTGGAAGCGGCTTTCAGGCTGGTCACACGGAGCAATACTGGGTCACCTAGGTGCTGTGGGCACTCAAAGCTGGAGACCAAGGACTTTATCAATAAGCCCGACCGGGAGCTGTTGTCAACTCGTATCTTTGGATCAGCATCTCTCTCCTACCCCAGTCCCTTGTAATGTAATAATGTCCTTCATCTGGTCAGTTCACTTTTCTCACTGATGACTTTATCTGAATGACTCTAGGGCAGGACTTGTCAGACTAATCTGCATACGGATGTGTAGGGGTCTTAGTAAAGTGCACATTCTGGCTCAGCGGGCCTGGGGTGGGGCCCATGTTCCCCTACTTCTAGCAAACTCCCAGGAGACATGGCTACTGCTCTGTGGGCCACATTGAGTAAAAAGGACTTCGATCACATTCTGGACCTCAGTTATAGACATGTCCGTTTAGGTCTCAAATGACACTTGTTTCTAATTCTAATGTGTTGTACCTAGATTTTTCTCTTACTGAAACCCAGAACATTGAAAGTAACACCACCCTTCCTGAGCTTTACCCTCCCTGGACGCAACAGACAACTCAGGATTTGGGGCACAAGACGATAAGCATTAAGAGCAAAAAGGGCTTTCTCCCTATTTGGGCTCATCCACAGCTGTTTCTGACTCTCAGATCCTCACTTAGAGTATAACTGGATTTACTTAACCCAAAGTCTAGTTTCCTGCCCATGAGGTCTCCTGGATCACTAAGAGGCCTGCTTCTAGTCCCAGGTTGCCCCTGCCCCTGCCATCTGGCTTCTTCCTGAGGCTGTTGATGAGCCTTTCCATTAAAAAGGGAGAAAGCCTGCCTTGGCAGCTTCTTTCTAAACCACCTCCACAAACATTAATCATGAGACGTGGACATCCAGGATGGGGTATGGGTTTAGATAAGGAGCCCTTTTCAGAACAATGAAAAGGCTGCCTAATTGCAAGATTTTTATAGATGCTAACAAGCTTTTCATTTAAGTTAAAGCTTCCTTCCCTTGTTAAACCATCTCAGTTTTACCAGCTGCTCTCTCTTCCATTATGCTTTTGTGTAAATTCCCTATAAACACTTCTGAACATACATGCCAAGAGATACTTAGGAAATGTGAATTAGAAGAGAAATTGATGAGGTCTGGTTTGGAAACACGGAGACTGTGGTAGACAACCTTGACTGGGAAAAATACACTCTTCAGACTATTCATGTTTTCTTGGTAAGATTGAAACTAGCTGGATAATTCCTAAAGCCCCATTCTCTCTTAACATTACAAAGGTAAGTATGGAAGATGTATTAACATATAGCAATGGTGCATCCAGCTTTGTTCTGATTTCAAACTATATTACAAAGCTGTAGTAATCCAAATAGTATGATATTTGTCATAAAAGCACAGATTGATGAAACAGACTAACCCTGCCCCCCCAAAAAAACGCCATGCATATATGGTTAATTTATGGCAAAAGAGCCAAGAATGTACCATGGGAAAAGGACCATCTCTTTGATAAATGGTGTTGGGAATACTGGCTAGCCACATGCAAAAGAAAAAACTAGACTACTGTTTTGCACCAAACACAAAAATTAACTCAATGAATGAAAGACTAGACTTTCTGGTCCAAGACGACATGGTGATGGAAAACCCTGAATTCACCCTCTGGGGACACATCAAATTTATGCCTATATATATAGAACAATGCTCCCTGAAGACCCGGGTTGACTGAGCAGCTGTAGCACAAAAGACCACAGAGAGAACAGTGAGGGAGAGACACCCAGTAATGAAAGGCACCCCCACCCCCTATGCTGGGAGCTGCAGTGGGGAGAGAGAGTACTGAGGAGCAGGGACCGGGTTTGTCTTCCCCGGGGGCAGAAAAAAGCTGTGGTTTAAAAAGGCAACCAGAATATAAAAGCTCTCTCCCTCGAACTCTGCCAAATGGTGGGGCTGCTGCTGGAACTCTGGGTTGGAGCCTGGTGAGCACCACAGTTGGCATTCCCCTTCCACATCAGTAGCATGGACAGGTGCAGGTCCAGACATCCTAGCCAGCCCACTACCTCAGAGTCCCAACCCCAAGCTCACACCACACCCAGCCATTGCACCAAAGTGGCCCCAGTGAGGCACACACCAGGATACTCGCAATGAACACACACACAGCTCTAGCCATCTCACCAAAGTGACCCAGGCACAAAGCATCTCAAAACATTTCAGAACATCCCAGCTTTGCACTCTTTCAGCTCCCCATACCTTGCCAGGGCACCTAACCTGCACTCACCTTGGCTCCAGCCACCCTGCCAGGACACTCCCTGTGTGGAGTGCTCTGTGATCTCCCCTCCCCCACAGCGTGTACCCTACCTGGACTCCAGCCACTCACCAAATCACCTCCTGAGAGCAACACCTGGAGGCACCCCAGCTTGCACCCACTTCAACTGTCCTGCCAGGGGACACTCTGTACAGAGAGCCTTGAAACTGCTCCAGCCTATGCCCATTTCAGCTCTGGGCATACCACTAGAGCAGACCCAACCCAGAATGCCCTGGGACCCCCTACCCATGCCAGCCACACCTCCAGCCAGCCAAAGTCACCAGGCACACATAACCTACACAGGAGACAACCATGCACAAGAACACTCCTTCAAGTTTAGAAGCACCTATTCTACCTAGTTTACAGAAACACAAAAAGTCAAGCAAAATGAGACCTAGGAATATGCTTCAAATGAAAAAACAAGACAAAAATCTCAGAAAAAGAAATGAAACAGAGATAACCAACCTACTTGATAAGGACTTCAAAGTAATGATCATAAAGATGCTCACTGGACTGGAGAGAAGAGTGGATGAATTCAGAATGTTAACAAGAGATAGTAAATATTTAAAAAAATCAGAGCTGAAAAAAATAACTGAAATAAAAAATATTATGGAAAATCCTCATAGATAAAAGCATGCAGAAAAAAGGATCAGCGAACTGGAAGAGAGTAACAGCACCTACACTGAACAGCAAAAAGAAAAAAGATATTTTTAAAATGAGGTCATGTTAACAGATCCTTTGAACTGCAAACACACAAACACTTGCATTATAGGGGTCCAAGAAGGAGAAGAGAGGAAGGGGCAGAAGAATCATTTTAATAATAGCTGGGGAATTGTTTAATCTGGGGAAGAAAATATACATGCAGGTTGAGGAAGCACAGAGTTCCAAACAAGACGAACCCAAACAGGTCCACACCACAGTACCTAATAATTAAAATGTCAAAGATCAAAGAGAAAGCAAGATTTTGAGAAGCAACTAGTTACATACGTAAGGAAATGCCATAAGCCTATCAGCTGAGTTTTCAGCAGAAACTGTAGGCCAGAAGGGAGTGGAACAATATATTTAAAGTGCTGAAGGAGTGACACCCGGATGGCTCAGTTGGGTAAGCATCTGACTTTGGCTCAGGTCGTGACCTCATGGTTTG